TTCAGCCATTTGAAATTCTTCTATTTGAAAAATTCTCTGTTTAGGCCTATACCCCATTTTTTAACTGAGTTATTTAGAATTTTGATGTCTGATTTCTTGAGTTCTTTATATATTTTAAAGATCAGTCCTTTGTCTGATGTAGGATGTGGTGAAGATCTTTCTTTTCCCATTCAGTAGGCAGCCTTTTTGTCTTATTGACTGTGTCCTTTGATTTACAGAAGCTTCTCAGTTCCAGGAGGTCCCATTTATTTCTTGTTGCTCTCAGTGTCTGTGCTACTGGTACTATATTTAGAAAGTGGTCTCCTGTGCTCATGCATTGAAGGCTACTTTCTGCTTTCTCTACTATCAGGTTCATTGTGGTTGGATTTATATTGAGGTCTTTAATCTATTTGGACTTGAGTTTTGTGCATGGGGTTAGATAAGGATCTGTTTGCATTCTTCTGTATGTTGACATCCAGTTATACCAGCATCATTTCCTGAAGATGCTTTTTTTTTTTTTTAGCTTCTTTGTCAAAAGTCAGGCATTCATAGGTGTGTAGATTAATATCCAGGTCTTCAGTTTGATTCCATTGGTCAACCTGTCTGTTTTTATGCCAATATCAGGTTGTTTTCATTACTGTAGCTCTATAATAGAGCTTGATATCAGGAATGGTGATGCCTCTAGAAGTTCCTTTATTGTACAAGATTGTTTTGGTTATTCCGGTTATCTTTTGTTTTGTTTTGTTTTTCTGTAAGAAGTTGATTATTATTTTTAAAAAGTCTGTGAATAATTGTGTTGGAATTGCGATGGTAATTGCATTGAATCTATAGGTGCCTTTCGGAGGATTGCCATTTTTATTGTGTTGATCCTACCTCTCCAAAAGCATGGGAGATTTTTCCATTTTCTGATATCTTATTTAATTTCTTTCTTCAAATCCTTAAAGGTTTTGTAGAACAGGTCTTTCACCTCTTTGGTTAGTGTTACCCCAAGATATTTTTTGTTATTTGTAGCTACTGTAAAGGGTAATGTTTCTCTGATTTTTTTCTCAACTTCATTATCATTTGTATACAGGAGGGCTACTAATTTTTTTTTTTAGTTGATCTTGTATCCTGCCACGTTGCTGAAGGTATTTATCAGCTGTAGGAGTTCCCTGGTAGAGTTTCGGGGGTCACTTATGTATACTATCATGTCATCTGCAAATAGAAAAGTTTGATTTCTTCCTTTCTGATTTGTATCCACTTGGTCTCCTTTTGTTGTCTTATTTCTCTAGCTAGAACTTCAAGAACTATGCTGAGTAGATATGAAGAGAGTAGACAGCCTTGTCTTGTTCCTGACTTTAGTGGAATTGATTTGAGATTCTCTCCATTAATTTAATGTTAGCTATCGGCTTGCTGGATATTGCTTTTTCATATTTAGATATGTTCCTTGTATCCTTGATCCCTCCAAGATCTTTATCATGAAGGGATGTTGGAGTTTGTTGAATACTTTTTCAGCATTCATCTGAGATGATTATATGGGTTTTTCCCTTTAAGTTTATGCATATGATGGATTACATTGGTAGATTTTCATATGTCAGATCATCCCTGCATCTCAGGGATAAAGCCGACTTGATCATGGTGAATGTTTTTTTTTTTTCTTTCATGTGTTCTTAGATTCGGTTTGCCAGTATTTTATTGAGTATTTTTGCATCAGTGTTCATGAGTGAGATTGGTCTGTAATTCTCTTTCTTGTCTGAGTCTTTGTATGGTTTTGGTATCTGGGTAACGGTAGCCTCATAAAAAGAGTTTGACAATGTTCCTTCTGTTTCTATTGTGTGGAACAATTTGAGGAGTATTAGCTCTTCTTTGATTTTCTGATAGAATTCTGCACTGAAACCTTCTGGCCCTGAGGTGTGGTTTTTGTTTTGGTTTGGTTTTTGGTTTTGTTTTTTTGTTTATTTGGTTTTTTGTTTTTGTTTTTGAGAGAGGGTGTGTCTGTAAGTTTGTAACTTTGGAATCTGTCCTGCAACTAACTCTTGAAGACAAGACTGGCCTCGAACTCACAGAAATTCACCTGCCTCTGCCTCCCAAGTGCTAGGACTAGAGGCATGCACCAACTCATAATTTTTATCATTTCTGTTGAGTGAAGTTGATATGAACTGAAATGAGATAGCGTTGTTTCTTTTTGAAAGACTGGTTATGGATGTTAAATGATCCTAACTGTGATTATCCTAAGGGATTGCTTAGTAAGTTCGTCATAATTTATTCAGGAATTTGTGGAGACTGACATTGCAGGGCCTTGCCAGTTATAGACACTCACGGTCCCATTGAGAATCTCATGGACATAAATTTACACTGCTTGTGTGTGTGAATTCTGATTAAGTACCAGTGTTTTCATCTTAGATGGGCACGAAGAGCATCAGTGACTGTTTCCTTTCCAGACTTCAGGAGTCCCAACACATTACTATGTTATAAATGATAATCTATAATTTATTTTCCTCTCCAGCCGTGCTCTGCCGATTCTTTGTTTTACTGTATTCTTCCTAAGTGTGTTTCTTAAACATGTCTGGGCTAGTTTCCGAGGGGCAGTCTCTACTCTACCATCACTGTTTTCCCAGCTCTCATACAGCACTGAGGAGTCAACAGGGAGAGACTGAAACCAAGCCAAAAGTGCCAAAGTGCTGGCTTGCGCAGAAACGGCAGTCACAGGGAGTCCACCACCACTGAGTTTGTTGCAGTCATGATGAAACAGAAGTAAATAGACTGAAAATTAAGAGATTTCGTTGATTTATTGCCATCTAAAGATCTAATATGTGTGTTCTTTGACGTGAATTTCTCTTTAAGAGCTTAAGGAATTTGGCCATTCTACATTTCTAAATGCGAATATCAAAGCAAATTTTATAGAACTGAATAGCTGTGCCGTTGTGGCCTAGAATATGATGTGAAGAAAAGCTGCACATGAGCACGTCAGGTGTGTGAAGTGTCTGCCTGGCGGATGTTCGCTGCTCATTCACCTAGCAACTTTGCATCATTTCAGTTTGTAGAATTTTAATCCCCAGACAGTTAGCATTTGCACTAAGTCCTTAGCCTGTTCAATACTTAATTTTATTTCATTTTACAAATGACTGTCAGGATTTAATGTCTTCAAATAATACCTTAAGCAAATCTGTATATGGTAGCAGCAACCACAGGAAAACCCAGGTCAAAACTTTTGAGAATATCAAAAAAGGATGTTCTTAAATTGTAACCTTATTAATTACTTGAACTCTATGTTTTCATGTTTAGGAAATGAGAGTAAGGACATAAAATTTCTTCCTTAGCCAGAGAGATTCATTATTCTGTGATTTTTCTAACTGTCCGATGTTGAATCTTTCTTTTATATTCTAATGGCAATGCTAATCCAGTGAAAAAATAATTTAAAGAAGATAGCATACTTGTTATTAACTAATAATAAAGTATTTTTACTGGATTGTTAAATGATTTAAGCCTTTAAGACACTGCTAATCCAGGGGGTGTTATTCTGTAACTGTGGTATTGCATATCAGTATTAATTCTAGTATCTTGTTATAGAAAATAGGCACAGGCGGAGCCGTGGTGGTGCACCACTTCAATCCCAGCGCTCGGGAGGCAGAGGCAGGCGGATCTCTGTGAGTTAGAGGTCAGCCTGGTCTACAAGAGCTAGTTCCGGGACAGATTCCAAAGCGATAGAGAAACCTTGTCTCAGAAAAGAAAGGAAAGGGAAGGGGAGGGAAGGGGAGGGGAAGGGAAAAAGGAAAAGAAAAGAAAAGAGAAGAGAAGAGAAGAGAAGAGAAGAGAAGAGAAGAGAAGAGAAAAGAAAAGAAAAGAAAAGAAAAGAAAAGAAAAGAAATTTTAGGCACACCAAAATACAAAAGTTTTGGGTGCAAAAAAACTTCTGAGGCAACTTTAGCAGTGAGTTGGGTGCTTTTAGGTAGTTTTCATTAATAGGCATGAGGATGCAGAGTTTAATCTGAGAAGAGGATTGTTTTTGAAATGCTTAGTTCAGAATATAGGCAAGCATCTCCAGTCTGGACTTGTGGGTCGTAGTGTTCTCTGCATGAGCTTTCTTCACCATTCACTCTTCTCCCTTTTGTTAAGTATGCTATTATATTTTTGATGGGCAATTCATGGGGATTAAGAACAAATGATGGAGATGCAGAACGTGCCTGTTTTCTTCAGTGTGGGATCACCAGTAGAAGGACAGCATTGTGCCAAAGTGCGGGCTTTAACTTTTGTTATGTTTCCTACATTTTAATATGCCACATTAGGCTGTCCAGTGTTCACAGACTGAAGTAGCTTTTGCTTCATTTGATATACAGTTTTGTTTTTCTGTTTTTACTTTTGCATATTCTTATCTGGCTGGTCACTGAAGTAGTCAGTATCTTCAAGCCAGAAAAAAAAATCCTTATTTTCAGGAAGTTAGTAATTTCATAAATACAACATTGAATAGGGAGAAGTTAAAATGTAACCGTTTGCTAACATAAAGAAACATATCAGAAAACAAAATAGTATCAATAGACTGAAAGAGAATAATTTTGGGGAGAGCATTGAAATCACCAAGGAGTCACAGGGCCAAGGCAAAAAGCAGGCCAGTTAAATTGGAGAAGTAATGCCGGTCAGCTTTCTTCACCAGTGTGCCGCCACTGAACATCAGTAGAAGACAGTCCTGAGGGCTCACAGTGCCCCAGTGCTGACTTCCCTGAGATAGGAAGTGATGGAGGAAATTTATAAAAGAAAACCTCAGGGATTCCTGTGTGATCCCTTTAATCCTTGAATTGTCAAGCCACATGGAAAATAATAGAGCTGTGTCGTTCCAAGACTTAAGTGGTATTAGCTTTTTGAAAGAAAATGTTGGCCTTTTCATATCCATGGACAAGAATAGGGTCTGTATTCAAATAGAAAAGAGTAACTCTGAGCCAAAGATGCATGCCTTTTTTCATTTTTAATATAGTATTGTCTATGAATAAGCTGGCTGTATCAGGAAAAAAAAATTAGTCTATGTTTTATTTTTCTTTTTAAAACAGATGATTCAACGAGAAGCAGATGTAAAAAGTAAGGTGACTGCTGTGGCGTTGACAGACTCTGTTCACAATGTATGGCATCAAGAAGCTGGCAAAACCATCCGAGAATGGATGAGAGAGGTGAGGCATGGTTTTGTTTGGTGCTGAGATTAATGGGCTTGAGCCTTTGTATTCGGGGTCCCCACCAACTTATATTGCCTCCTACCCCACATTCTCAGAATGTTGAGATAGAATAAAAAGTCTAGATACAGTTAAAATAATAAAAGAAAGCTTTCAGAAGACAAAACTTTTTGAAAGCATCCTTTCTGCCCACTACTGAATAGAATATTATGTGTGTATAGAGTTTGCACTAGGATTTTAGGTGATGACGGGCTTGATGTTATGATTCATATTTCCTAATGTTGAATGTTTCTGGCTATTTAGTATTGTAGTTACTTAATTACCAGAAAGAAGTGTCATGTATATTCAGTCCTGTCCTTTCCTTCTGGGAATGTGATCAGGATGTGACATAATGAAATTGATTTGCTCCATACTGCCAATAGGGGTAGAAGCGGGGGGTGGGGAGGGAGCCTCCCTCCGCCTAGGGAAGCTGCCTATTGCATGTCCCTGCTGAGTCTGAACTAACAAGAATCTACCGAACATGGCCGTGTCTTTTCAAAAGCTTCAGTGTGTTAGTCCATTATCCTGTTACAGACATCTATCTGAAAACTCATTTCTGTTTGTATTTACCTTGCTGATATCATAAGAATCTGACATTAGCTTCATGGAAACAAGTCAACAATGAGCATATGCATCAGTAATCTCTCCACTATAGTACTTTGTCCTGTGCATCCCTTCTCCATTAGAAGTTCTTTATGAAAGTCAGTCCATATGACAAAGGCACACACACATACACACACATGCTCTCACATAAACCTACACACAAAAAGGTTAAAATATTTGTAACTATCTTTCCTCTCAATAAAGATTTGTAGCTACAAAAGAGGGTGCCTCTGTAATTTTATCCTGTTTACTAACTTCATTGTTTTACCAAATACTGTCTTATATTTGGAAATAAAACAATCCTGGCAATTGTTTATTCATTTCTATTATAGTAAAGAATGATAAAGGCATGGTTTAGTTTATCTCATAAGCAACAAATTAATGTGATAAAGTTTTTTATATTAAGCATTTTTACTATGAAACTCTTAAATAGTTCAGGCCTATCAATTTAGCAAACAACAGACTAAATATTAAATTTTTATATCTTATAATTTTAAAATACAATTTTTTTCTTGAAAAAAGGTCAAAGAATATTGTATTCGCAATCCCTCTAACTTAAACTCTTTTCAGATGAAGACCAACTGTGGATTCTAAGCCACAAGGAGGGGTCAAAAGTGGCACTTGTGAGGTTCTTATACTGTTGATGCTGAGAGTGTGACATACCCTGGCTTGAAAGTCTGTAGCCAAGCCAGAAATACAGTTCATGTATACCTTCCCTTCGACTCTGACTGTTGGCCTGTCTTAGTCAGGGTTTCTGTTGCTGTGAGGAGACACTGTGACCATGGCAACTTCTATAAAGGAAAACATCTAATTGAGATAGCTTCTTAGAGTTTCGAGGTTTAGTCCATTTTCATCATGACCAGGAGCATGGCGTACAGGTGATAATGGTGCTAAAGAAGGAGCTGAGAGGCCTACAGCAGCAGGAAGTGGTCTGTAAGACTAGGAGTAGTCTGAGCACAGAAGACCTCAAAGTCCTCCCCCACACTGACACACTTATTTACTCCAACAAGGCCACACCTCTGAACAATGCCACTCCCTTTAGGAGGCCATTTCATTTCAAACCACCACAAGGCCCTAGAAACATAACCTGGTTATGGTACATGATCATGTCTAAGGCACAAAACCTCCATATTAAAGATTAGCCTTTAAGACCATAATTATAATGCATACAAGTGTAATAAACAGAAATAAAAACCTAAACTGAACCAATAAATCAAGCTTCTCTAGTGTCTTGTACAGAGTTAGCTCTTCTTTTCTTTTCAGATACAACATACCAAATTCTACTGTCTTTTTATGAGCATCTTATTATTTGATAATTTCACACACTATGTTTTGATCGTAGTCACACACACACACACACACACACACACACACACACACACACAGAGTTCTTCCTATGTCTACCCTCTCCACCTGCACCTCTGTATCGGGATGGAGAGATGACTCAGCCATTCAAAGCAGCTACAACTAGCTATGGTTCCAACTCTATTCAGTATATCTAGTACCTTCTGGCCTCTATGGAAACCTGCACACACATCACACACACACACACACACACACACACACACACACACACATTTTTACAAATCCATTTTATGACAAGATGGCTCAGTGGATACAAGTACTTGCTACATGAACCTGACATCCTGACCTCAATCACCAGATTCCAAGGTGGAAAGAGCAAACCAAGTCTTAAAAGCCCTACGCTTGCAGTCTGTGCACACACATGTGCATGCACACACACACACACACACACACAAAATTCAATTTAAAATTAAACAAGATAAAGACAAAAATTAATTCCATGTCTGCATAAATGTTGTCCACCCTTGGTACAAGTCAAAACATGTCACTCTGCACTGTGGCTATTAGACACTTATGTTCCTGTTACTAGTCCTTGCGCTATGGATTTTCCAAAGGAAAATTTACAATCACAAACATCTGCAAGATCATAATCTTGGCATAAGAAACCTTTTACACTGAAAGACTTAACTTTTGTAAGCACTCATTATGTTGCGTTCATTTCTCGTGTGGACACAGAAATCCTAGTCAAGTGATCCATTCCATTATGTTGCCTCTGGCCAAGGCTTCCTGTCACATCTGAGTCTTAGCATGGCGCTGTTGGTGCCTCTGCTCTACCTCACTTTCTTTACTCTTCTGTGCATCAGAGAAAAGATCGTGGAAGCTAATATTACTATGTCTGAAATTCAGGTAGTTTTCCTAGTTTGTGACCACCCAGGATTCCCCATCCCCTGTGAAAAACAGGAGCAGGGACTGATTGGGGACCTAAGGAGAGGAAGAGATAGGCACTGAAACAACATGAGCAGAAACAATAGAAACGCAACACAGGGAGGTAGATGTGAGAAGATACGGCTCAAGCAGGTTAAACTCATGAGTAATCTCCGTACGTCTTAACTTACAAATTTCAAAGCTTGTGTCATTTTATTTCACGTTTTTGTATTGAAAACATTTTTAACTTGTTTTACCTGATTTCTCTATACTTTTCATAGTAGAACTTAAATGCAACATACAGAATGACATACACAGATGGCACACACACGTGGGCAGACTCACAAGTGCACACATACACACACCCTTCAAGCTTGGTTTCCATCCTTTCTGATCCTACATAGGTACTTGCTGTTACACAAGACATTTGACATCTTCACTTTTAGCTGCAGGCCTCTTCCTTGTCCTGATTCTGCAGGAGAGATGAAAGCTTTCATCATGTGGGAGATGCAACTGAAATTTCAGAGTCATAAAGTGGCAGCTTGTATTTCTCAGCCAACGGTGATCTGTTTTTAAAAAATGGACAAAAGTTTATTTGAGTCAGCTTTTAAAAGTCAAAGTGAACTAGAAATATGACTAATTGTCTAGAGATTTTAATGTGCCATCACTTTTATTAACACTGGAAAATTGGGTGAGGCACAGTTCTGCACATATGAGATGCAGGTGATCTGTATTGAGGCTGGCATATCGCCTGGGTGATAGCCAACTTTCATCAAATTTGGAGGCACTAGTAGGATGAATAATAATTAAAATATATACCTAATCGCTGCCTGTCTGTTGGTAGTGCTAATTGCTGTCATTGAAGAGACTGAATTGTTTAAGAGAAGCGGAGAGAAAGAGAAAGTCATTCTTCATTGAAGCTATCCCCCTGTATCACGGGGAGCCTAATTTTAGAACCTATAGAAGTCATGATTTTTGAATTTATTAGAGGCTGTGGTGAATGATAAAACAAATCATTCATTTACATATCTTGACACTGCTTTGGAGAATACTTATTTCTTACAAGCGAGTGTCACATTGTATATAAAAGCTGGCTAATTGTGTGCTAATCTGCATTATCTCAAATTCACTGATGTGGTAGTCTATCAATGGTAATATTAATTTTTCTTATTTCAAATGTATGAACTATCTTCTAAAACCCCATTTCTTTTATAATTTCTACTTCTCTTACATTGTGTAATTTTATGTTCAGCTGCTAATTAAGATGAGAAGTGCACATTATAGAACTTATATCCATTTCAAACCATCAAGCTATTGTCATACATGAAAAATATGAAATTTTATCTGTTTTAATTATAAAGAGAGTGAACGCATTTAAGAACATTACTAGATGTGTTTGTTTTCATGGTTTTTTTTTTCCAAACACAGTTCAATAGCTTCATTGATCTACTGTTTCTTAGAAAAATCTGCCTTGCTTTGTGAGCTTGAGTCTGTAATCTCATACAGCAAACCCTTCCTTTATGTTATCCCTGCTCTCTCTGGTCCCAGAACAGTAGGGTTGCCTTGACAAATCTATTCAAAAGCCATTCCTCGGCCTTTATTGGTGGGGACTGGGGCCTTTGAAATTTTCTCTTCACTGCAACACAGCTGACATCTTCTTCCAGACAGAATGAATTAAGGAAATACAATAAGACACTTGATCTACCAGTCAAGGACCCTTCCTCAGTGCGAACGGATTCCATGGTGCACAGCCAAGGCAGCAAGCATCTAAAATGCACAATACATACTGTTTACCAGGATAGCGGTCACCCGTTTCTCCAACATGATTGATGGGAGGGCTTCTGTTAAAATAGAATCTGCCTGTGGAAATTCTTTGTGTGTGTTTATCTGTGTTGTGAATACCTTTAAAACTATATAATCACATCTTTTCCTCCAGAATTTGGATATATGCTTACGTTTATAAAAGAAATGGAATGTTATTTCATTTATCTGAGTTACAAATGTCCATTATCTGAGAGAGTGAGCGTCAGTAGTGAAGCTGTGCCGTCTGTGGCTGCTGCAGCTCCCCAGGCTGGGAGAGGATAATCTTAACATACCTGTCACTGATGTGGGTCCAGAGGAAAACTCAAAGCAAGTATGGGCCAGATTTAAGGCTTTTTTTCCTTCACATGTAACTTTTCTTAGAAATAGATTAGATTATACTTTACAGGTTATGTATCTTAGCATCAACATAGTTTTTTTGTTGTTGTTGAATTAGAAAAGGTAAATTTTTTCCACAGTCATTAAAAATTAGTGACTGTTTATGTATGAAAAATAGTTTTAAATTGATGGAATATAAATATACTTCTAATGATTTATTTTATAGGATAAATTGACCTCTTCAACCTAAAAATGTAGTTTTCCTTTCAATTCTACGTGATCAACATTGTATCTGTTACATTGCAGAACTGTTGCAACTGGGTCTCCAGCTCAGAACCACTGGACACATCAGTGGAGTCCATGCTGCCTGACTGTCCCAGAGTCTCTGCAGGTATGGGCTTGGTGGAAGTGTGAAGTGTGCTCTACAGAAAAAAAAAAACAAAACAAAACAAAAAACAAACAAAGAAAGGAAGACAGACAGACAGACAGACAGAAAGAAAAGCATGCTTCTTTGATGGAAATTCTGTTTCATAAATTAAATATGTTGTTCTATCTCAGATTATTCATAACATATCACATTTGTCTAAAACACTTCCTCCAATTGTTTAAGTGGCTTATAATGATTATCACTATCCTTAGTAATGTGATGGGTGAATAATTGGATAGTTTCTCTTGGCGCTTAGGCAGGTGAGACTGTGCCTAAAAGACAAGAACTCAGTTGCCATTTAGAACCTCAGAAGGATGATTGTCTCTGAGTCCCAATCCCATATTTCAGGCGATCATGTCATCTAGAGAAAAAATTATTTTTATGCAAAGATTTTCGTTGGACCTTGTGTGTAAGGTAGGATTTGGATGTAGGAAGATGTGCAAGGTGGTATCCCAAGCGGGGGTGGGGTGGGGTGGGGGGACAGCAGTTGAAGGAACAGAGCCAAGAGGACCTGAAGATGCTGAGAGTTGGTAAATGTGAGCGTGTGTTGCCCGCTGGAAGCAGAGAAGTGAAGCAGTCAGACGGCCGGGGCAGCTGGCGTCTGCGATGGTGAGGACGGCCATTCCCTGCCTGAAGAGTGTGTTTCTCAGCACCTCGGTCACGAAAGTGCTCTTACACTGGCCATTGCTTTCTTGATTTTACTTTTGCAGCTTCCAATAATTTTTATGCAAACACAGAGTGAGCAATGTATCTAGTGAGAACCACTCACTTACTGTGACTCTGAATGCTGGAAAATGAGCAGCAATTCAGAATACAGCCTATTCCATATCTCAGTCACAGATGGCAGCTAATCACTAAGTAAGTGTGTTTGTTTTATGAAGGTGACCATTCGGTGGTGAGTTCAAATTCTAGGTGGTGAAGTGCTCTTTCTAGCTATATATCATGATCATTAGCACATAAACTTTAACTGAGCCTCACTGTTACAACTAAATATTTTAGGTTTGTTACTCAAGGTTTAATAAGAGAAATTAAACTATGGTGAGATACCTATGCTGCATATATTTGTATATGGATATTATGCAACCTGTTATTGTTGCTCACGGTGGCTTTCTGCTGAGAAATCATGGAATTTGCAAATACTGACTCAGTACTCCTAGGAAAAGGCAGAATTAGTTTCTTGTGAGCCTCTGATCACCTTTTTATCACCCAGTCAATGCAAGTTTCTAGTTTTATGTGTGTTTATACTTAAACACACATCGTATCACATGTATTGTTTACTCATTATGTTCAGATTCATGCCTGGGCACAGCTTGCACATATATTTCTCCATAAGGTGTTTCATAATTTTCCTGAGATAAGGAATATTAATTAGAAAGTACCATAGCGCCATTTCTGGGGAATCATTTGAAATCGTGAAGTCAGAACACAAGACTGAGGAAAAATGACACTCGGTAGTTCAGGAAAAGTCTGCTTCTTCTGGTGTGATTTTTAAATAACTTCTTTATTGACTCTTTGGTAGTTTCACATCAAGCACCCCAGTTCCATTCTCCTCCCGGTCACGCTTGTCCTCCCCTCATCCCTTCCACATTCCCGATAAGGAAACAAATCAAAGTAAGCAATCAAGCAAACAAAAGCAAAAGAAAAAAAAAAAAAAACAGAAAAATCTCTTGGCATCTCCTTCTCTCCGGCTTCTCCAGCACCTCATCATTTGCCCTGGTGGCAATGGAGGATTGTCTGGTAAACAATACAAGGTATATAGTATATCTCTTTGTTCCATCAGTTTTACTGGCAAGTGTTCATTGCAGTGAGTCACTGGTCTGGTTCAAGGCCTCTGGTTTCCGGTACACCATCATCCCTGGATCCTCACCAGAGCTCCTCTGGGATGTCCTGTGTCTGTCACTAGTCTTAGAGATCTTATGGGTGTCATTCCACAGGGTCAGTCTCTTCACCAGCTCCAGTCAGTCATAGGGGGGTGGATGCTAGGGTGGGTCAACTCAAGGCTTTTCTGTGGACCTGGATAGTAGCCAAGCTGGTCAGTCCAGGCCCCTGGGGCCACCCACCTTGGGTGACTGGGTGGAGTCAGCTCCCCTACATGCATGCCCTCGGGGTCCTTTCAAGCTGGCCTGTGGTGAGGGGTCAGGGCCACCTCTCCAGCGTGCAGAGGCCAGCTCTCTTGCTGTAGTGTCCACCGAAGGATGTGGCGAGCTCAGCATGGCCCTCTGATTTCATCTTGCATGGTTCCCAGGTCCTCCCGAGGTAACACAGGCCACAGACATCCACACTGACCCCAGCTGTAGCTGAACCACAGACACAGCCATGGCCCTTGGCAACAACTTGGGCCTAGTAGAGAAAAGTCCTCGTTTTTACAATATTAAAACTGAAACAAGAAGGCAGAGTAGAGTCTTAATGAAGCATGAGTAATTATTGAAGTTGTTGTAACTCTGTCTATTAATATGGGGTAGTGAGTTGTAGTGAGCAGTTGCGTTCAGAAGTCTGGAGTACAGAAAGAAAGAAGACCTGTTATTTTATCAGTATAGATTACAGGAAGTTTTTTTTTTTCCTTTACTGGTATTTGACTAGAGCTAGTTAAACAGGTTTTACAAGGACAATTATTTTTATTTGCTGCTGGGATTTTAATACCCAAAACAAACAATTATGGGTATCAGATGTAAAGTAGAAAAGAATAAAAATGGGCTAGAACTCATAAGCAAGAACTGGAGTCCACAAAGATGGATTGATTTTGCCTCTTACTGTCTCTGCTGTATGCTGTACATATTCCTATAGAATCCTATGTCCTATCATGGACTTAAATAATACATCCTCTCTCCAGTCATCAGAGATACTGAAGGGAAATTCAAGGGAAGGAAGAACAAAAGCATTCCTTGCTACTTCTCTACACCCTAAGATGAACCAAAAAGATGTGTCCAGATGTGTATGCAAGAAATGGGTCCTACTCTTCAGCTTACAAATCCCTGTCTCACTCCCATCCCGAAACACACACACACACACACACACACACACACCCTTATGTACCTTCTTAATAATAAGCATAGGAAAAAGAATTTTGAAAAATGTAGTTCAGCCTAGTCAAATGTCTAGTGTCACACTCTTTTGCACCTTCTTACTACACAGTCTAGTCAAGCGTGATGGCTCAAATCTGTGACTCTAATACTTCACTTAGGGGGATGCTTACCACAAGTTCAAGACCAGATTGGTTAGTCCTCAAGTAGGAGTAGTGAATTCCAGCCAGCCTGTGATTCACATACATGCATGCATGCATACATACATATATGTGTGTGTGGTATGCATCCATAAATAGCAAAATAAGAAATATTATTAGTTTCTTAATTTTTGAAACTGTTCATGGAACTATAGCTGGTATTTATAGCTTCCTTCTATGATGAACTCAGCATCCTATTGACATTCATTTGGTTAAGATTCTTCACCTATTGAAATGACCCATCCCTTTGTTCCTGGAAGGTCTGGACCATAAGCAATCCTGCTTGAATTAGTGTTTTATAAACTCCTATTGAAAATAATTTCAGCGTTGATAATGATCTCACTTTTCTATTCTGTTTTGATAAAGCACCATCACCAAGGCCGCTTCTAAAAGAAAGTATTTATTTGGGGCTCACAGTTTCAGAGGGTTAGAGCCCTGAGATCTTACATCTTGATACTCAAGTAGGAGGGATAAAGAGAAGTGGGGAGAGAAAGAAACTGGGATGGTACAGTCCTTTGAAATTTCATAGCCCACTCCCAGTGACACACCTCCTGATCCTGCCCAAACAGTTCCACTAACCAGGAACCAAGTATTTACATAAGCCTGTGAGGGCCATTTTCCTTCAAATAACACACAGATAATTTTTCCTTACCCACCATGTCAGGACAGCTCAATTTTCATTTGGAAATAAGGATCTGTCGTTGGAGATAAAAGAGTAGCAGCATTCGTTCCCTGTTGCTTCAGGAGCATCGGAAGATCAAAGTGAAAAGATGGTAGTTTCAATTTTCATTTCTGTAGTATTCTTATAGTGGTATCAGTGAAATATTCCTTTTTTTGGAACCAAGACCTTAGACCAGAAAGAACCTGAAGTCACAGAAATGGGAAGCAGCTGTTTTATTAGTAAATCACTAAGGGTAACAGAGAAGTTAGTCCCACTTCTATTCCTTCATTCTCAGAGCCAAAATAAATGGCTGTTTATTAAACACTGGCTTAGAGGACACACTGTTTCAGCTCCACTAGTTGCTGCTACCTAACAGGCTTCATAACTGAATTTCCAAAAGGTCACTCTACTCTCTGTCCAGCCTGCTGCTGAGTGACAGTAGGGAACATGGTAAGGCCATGGAGTGCTGGCAGACCTCAGGCTCTCCCTTGCCTTGTCCTGCTCACTCTGATGAAAATCAGCCGCTGTGCTACAAGCTGCTCTGTGGAGAGCCCGGCATGGGAAAGAGCTGTTGTCTCTGGGGAAAATGCCAATAAGGACTTGAGGTCTGCGGCTGCCGCGTGAGTGACTTTGGAAGAGGATTCTCCCCAAGTTGAGCCATGAGTCAACTGCAGCCCCGGGTTGATTGTTGCCTCGTGAGAAATCCCATGCAAGATCATTCAGCTAAGCTGTGTTCAGATTTCTGACCCACAGAAACTGAGGTGATAAATAAGTATTGTTTAGGGTATGATTCACTCCACAGGCAGAGATACTTAATATTGCAAATTTCAACTTCAACTCTGGTGGTCACTATCCTCTATGAAACAACACCATCATGTACTTATTTAGAGTAAAGCCATATGAGGCTTACCTTCTGATACCATGGGCCTGAGGACAGTTCTTTAGAAAGACATTTAAAAACTCACTGAAAATCATGTTTCCACCACTCCTTCCCTCCTCATCCCACTCCCCTGTTAGACTTTGCCCCCTACCCGTTAAAAGCATGTTTTAGATTTTCTCACATGTGCACTGTCATCTAAATTA